ACCTGTTTCTGCTGTTGCTGCATGGGGATAATGTCATGACTTGTTCATTTATTGACTGTTTTGTTCGACTCAATTTTTATGTTTCTTTTTGTTTATTTTGCAGTTCCTGAGTGTTAGAAGCATTGAACTTTATGAAAGAAAACACATATTTTAAAGTTTGGTTTAAGAGTGTAGATGTTCTCTTATTTTGAAAGGGTTAGTTCATAAAAAAGTTATATATTTTTCAACTGCTAAAAAAGTACACATAATTAGCGTGCTTAAGTATAATTTTGGGGCACTTAACATTAAGGGTTCTATTTCTTTCTGCTCTACACCCATTCCGCTATATTTGCAGATTAATATTGTGTTGAGTATATTAATAATGCTGACTACTTTAAATAATTGTAGTATAATTACTGATAACATTTAGTAGTACATTAATGTTAGTTCGGAATTTTTTTTAGTACATGAAAGATTCTTTGTTATATTGGAGTATTTTTTGCATTGTGGCATTTATACGTTTAACACCTAAAGAGTTATCCAGCTGTCCTTATAGTTTTAATTGTATCTTTTAATATTGGCTTACTGCAACTTACTCAATTAAATAGAAGTAAAAAACTTTGGTTTCATAATATTGAAATTACATTTACAAATGTCAACTTTCTGAAAACACAGTATTTTTTTATAGAAAATTGCTCTAGAAAAATAGGAGTTTGATTTGGACTATTGACAACTGTTCATTTGTTTTAAAAGCCCATTTTAGCCAAAAAGTTATGTTTTGTCTTGGTTGAAGTATAGGCTAAGCAGTGTAACAATCTCAGATGATAAATGCTCAAACGTCATAAAATGGACAAACTGACTCAATGGCATCACCAAACATAAAAGGTAGCTAACATTAGCTACCGTAAGTGAGCATATATATATATATATATATATATAATGATGTATATAAGCATGGCCCCATTGGATGATATTGAGGAAGGGTGAGTTTTATACATTAGTGTGTAAAAAAGTGTTCATTAAAACAGTTTCGTCCATCTGTTTTAATGAACACTTTCAATTTCCTTAAAAAAACAACCTGAAAACGTTGAAAAAAAAAAGGAAAAAAGTATGATAATCCACACATGAAAACATACAATTGTATTTGTTGGTTTTCAGTGTGAGAAAACTGACGCTCTTTTAATTACACTGCCACCTACTGCTTATCTTGACGAACAACTAATAACAATCGCAAAGCGTAGTGGATAGAAAAAGCAGTAATTGGCATTACCTTTCGCTGATTTTTCTCTAAAATGTGGTGAAAATGTGCAACATTAGGATGAAAACCCAGCTATTGTCTTTTCTAAACAAATATTGTTGCACGTAATTCCTACTGGGTGCTATTATTTTGTCGTTATTGTATTGTTGTTTATATTCAATGTAATTATGGCATTGAGTCGGTAAAAATCTGGATCTGAATCCTCAAAGGTGAATTTTCCTGCATAAAACCCATGATTGCAGCTGCAGAGGTAAATGAGAGAATTCATGATGATTTGGTTGAACTAACCCTTTAACAAGACCCTTGTGAGCATCACAGCAAAGAGCCCCCAACCCTGGAGGAAACAGTTATCTGAGCGGCAGTCCACGTGCATGGCGGGGATAATGCTGCTTACGATTCCAGCAGCGATGGCCCCGCACTGCGAGGCAGGAGAAGCTGGGGCCGTCAGGGATTTGTCAGAGGCCTGTTATTACATCTCTAGTCACATAAAATATGGCTGCCTCTCCAGAGATCCCACCGCTAGATAAATCCCTCCAACCAGACGAGCCCTGGCGATGAAACCATCCAATGGCGTGCCTCAGCCAGTGACCTCTGGTAATGACATGTGATTTATACAGTACATGTTTTAAACCAAGAGACACATCTCTCCCTCTGTATCTATATCTGGTGTCATGTGAGATAACTGGTAGGCCTTTGGGAGCGGGGAGACATGACACCCCATCTTTGGGGTCTCACAAAATGGCTACAATGTGGATAGTTTCCCCTGCAGCTGTCTAATCGCAGGCTAAGCCTTGCAGTGAATGCTGTGTCTCCTCCTGCACCAGGTCAACAACACATTGCAGGGTGCCACTTTAAGCTAACTGACCGCAGTGTGGAAGGCCTAAATCAACACCTGGTTGGGAAGAAAAAGAGGGCTTGTGTTCTTGGAAATGTGTGGCACTGAAAAAACTGGAGCGTTGACTTTAATTAAATGTATTATGTCAACAGATTTCACATAACTGAATTAGGTTAGTTGAAAGCAATAATAAGTCTAAATAAAAAGGTATTAGGTTCAACTTAATAGTATTGCTTTCAACTAACCTAATATGTGAAATTTGTTGACATAATTAATATTAATAATTGACATTAAAGTCAACGTTTCAGTTGTTTCAGTGCTTGGCTGTTGTAAAGAAATACACTCTAACACTTGATTAGGATTAACCAGAGGGGGTTATTCCAAATCCATTAATAAAAAGGCCACAACAGCTTCCAAAGAAAAGCAGAAAATGAAGCAGTCTATGGGTCATTTTCCAGACAGTCAGTGCCCCCGCCAGTGGATGTCCCCTGCACAGTCTAGTAGCTTATGAGATTAAGTTGTGTGGCTAAAGGAGAGCTGAGAGGCAGGCCGTGTCGTTGACCTTGGCAAGCCAGACCCAGAGATGAGGACACACTACAAATACATGTCTTTAATAAACAGGCGCCAAACACAGCTCAGCGGGCTGGAAACACACACATTTCATGAAAAATAAATGGTTACATTTGATCATTTGTGTTCACACATTAGATCACCTTGTGTGCCATTTAATTATTTTATTTATTTTGGTTGTTTGCCAATTCATAATATCATATTATAATGCTCTTTTCTTTGATATTTCTATTTGCTGTAATGTTTTATATGTGTGAGAGGAAACATGTTGCCTGTTTGTAATTGTTTTAATACAAAGTGGGTTTTTTATCATTACATTTTTTATTCATGTAGCCTAATTTATTTATAAATGCCTGTGTGCCTTACTTAATGTCTATTTTAAAAAGCCCATGAATGAATCTAAAAGGCTTATTACATTCTTTTTTTTTTTTGTATAACACCTTTCTTTTTTTTTTTTGTGATAGTAATTAGAAAGCTATAAAAAAAAATCTTGGCAAATGTTTGAAATTATATTGGTTATATTTCGCAACAACCAGAAAACAGTTACTACTGCAATCAGATCTCCCCCCCAGCAGCAGCAGCAGCAGCAGCTATAAACTGCCTGGCTGCCATTTCTTTTTTTCCACTTCATAACCTGATAGTTCAACTGGACACATACACTACAGAAAACCATTTGCTAACAGACAGCCAAAGATATTTTAATTTTTTCCATATTGAATAACGAAATAATATTATTTTACTTTTTTAAATTAAGATGTCATATGTTGTTTTAACAAAAAGGGAAAAGTTGATAATAGATCAAAAATGAAATGTCTAACTCTTTTATGTTGTGGCAGTCCTGTATGGACAGAACTTGGCCTTTTAAATACACTCGTTTAATGTTTTAATAAAATCAAATGGAAAAAGAATATAGGAAACTATTTTAAATAAGGCTGAATAGAACTATAAAATACGACCACGTTATTAATTGTATACCCTCTCTCTCATCATCATCTTCATCATCCTCACTATGTTGCTGTTTTATTTTTGTACACATCGATGATGTAAAACTAATCATTGCAATATTTGCTTCAAACCACCTGAACACATTCATCAAAAAATAAATATATAAAATATTCTAAAAATAACAACGTTATTATATCAGCATCGACGAAACAAAAATAACTCTTGAAATAATAATAATAAATTGCTACAATTTGTTTTTAAAATGTCCCTCTCCCGCAGTAAAATCACGGGCAACTTCAACAATGTAAAGATTACATAAACTTCAAAAAAAGGCTTATTTCTTCCGTTGGATAAGCGTCTGTATTTTTATTTTTATTTAATAGGAAAAGGCATCATATTTTGTCCAGCTTCGTAAATTCGTTTTCCTATGCAAATAGCCTGTCGCCAATCCTTCAGCCCGGCACGAAAATAAACTCATCATGTCAAACCTGCAGGACGCGAGGAAATTTGAGAGCAGATGAAATATTTCTCGGATGATATAAAAAGGAGCCCTTTTGCCTGAGTTATGGCCCGGATTTTGGCGTTGCTGAGAGGGATGCATGCTGCTCCTTCCCTCCCGCCCCGGAGGAGGTATCATCAGAGCTGATATATGGCCCAGCTCTACATTACCTTTACAAAACAAAGGATCATCCATGCTTTGGGTCGAGGAAAAAAATCCTTCTGACTATATCTGCTACAACTACACCTGAGTCGATTTGTCTTTTATGGCAACATCCGGATAATCCAAATACTTTCAGACTGAAAGCCTAGAAACTCCTGGACTAAAACCTAACTTTTACGCATAAAATATAGGATTGCAATCTCTCCCTCAATCTTTCTCTCTCCCTCCCTCTCTCTCTGCTTCCCCTCATTTACCCCACATACCTATTCTGGTGTCTCACCACACGACTAAATTAGACCAAAGATGATAAGAGCACAAAGCACTATAATAATTCCGCCGGGCTCCTCCTCCTTCTAGCCATGCGTCCTAATTAATGGGACACCCCCAGTCGCAAAAAGCCCCGCACTGGACTGCAACATAGTCAAAGAGTGAGAGGGAAGAGGGCGAAAGTGCCACTGGAGATAATTGATTACCTACCAATCAATGATAACTTGTTAGTAATCGTCAACTCTTTGGACCTCGCCATTTTCAGGGAGGCATCTCACTCCTGCGGACTTGCTGCTCCCGAGGATCGACACTTTGAAGACATCCCATTCTGGAATACGATTTTTTTTCTTCATTCTCCTCCGTGTCTTTTGTTTTTTTTCCCCCCACCTCCCAACTGTTATGTGACTTTTTTCCCTTCGATAGTCTCGCTCGTTTTTAAACCCGCTTGATTATTTCTTTTTTCAACGAAGTCCTTTTTACAACCAATGATGACATCCAAAGAAGTGGCCAAATGTGATGCAGTGGAGAACAGGAGGCGAAGTCCGCTGGACCACTTGCCGCCTCCTGCCAACTCCAACAAGCCGCTGACCCCCTTCAGCATCGAGGACATCCTGAACAAGCCCTCTGTGAAACGAAGTTACACCATTTGCGGCACAGCTCATCTCATTTCGTCCTCTGAGAAGCACCGTCCGTCCAGCATCCCTCTGTCCAGCCGGGCTCTGCTAAACCAGACCTCCCCCCTCTGCGCGCTGGAGGAGCTGGCCAGCAAGACCTTCAAAGGGCTGGAAGTCAGCGTTTTACAGGCTGCAGAAGGTACATCTCGATCCCTAAAAAATACAGTCGAAAAACACCTTTTTAGAATGTCATAATGGGCGTTTCTCTGCACGTGAATTTCTTATTGTATGGCCTGCACAAGATAGAAAATAACCATTTAAATACACACCTGTTTTGCAGCATGTCATGTAATAAAAAGAACAGAAATAATATTTGAACATATTTGTCTTTAACAAATATATTATCGAAAAAAAAGGCGTGTTCATGTTCTGGGCTGCATGGAATAAATCGACACTGCTTTTCTTTAATATTAAGGTCTCGTGTGTCTAGTGAACACTATTTCCCAGTGGGGTCTGTGTAATATCCTTATAATCACCCCTTCCCACAAGAGACAAGGGCTTTAGTCTACTGTTTCTCGTAGGATCACTTTCATTGTTATTTTTGCGTTAGGTTGACTTTTACGCGCACGCTGCTGCAGCGGTGCAGAGGAAGCTCTGCGCGCTGCACCTGCAGGATTCACATTCTCACGCGGCCTCTCTCTCTCTCTCTCTCACAGGCCGGGACGGGATGACTCTGTTCGGCACGAGAAGCACCCCGAAGAAGCGCCGGAAGTCTCGGACGGCGTTCACCAATCACCAAATCTATGAGCTGGAGAAGCGCTTCCTGTACCAGAAGTACCTGAGCCCGGCCGACCGGGACCAGATCGCGCAGCAGCTGGGCCTGACGAACGCGCAAGTCATCACGTGGTTTCAGAACCGCAGGGCCAAGCTAAAACGGGACCTGGAAGAGATGAAGGCCGACGTGGAGTCGGCTAAGGCCACCGGCAATGTCCCTTTGGAAAAGCTCGCCAAGCTGGCGGACCTTGAGAAATGCGCCAACGGCACGCTGGGCCACCCGCGACCAAATTCCCCCAAGCGGGTCGGCCAGCAGGAGCTCGAGCTCGCTCAGAAACTGCGGAACTCGCCGCTGTCTCCGTTTTCAGACCACACAACTAGTAAAGAGTGCTCAGAGGACGAGGACGTGGAGATTGATGTGGATGACTGATGGCACAGCGTGGGGCTGGAAGGTCGAGAAACACAAAAAGACGATGAAAAATCCTCCGGAGGACTTGTAACTTACTGCTTATATTGTATACCATATCTCAGAACATGTACCAAAATGTAATGACTTTTATATCGACACAGATAGACCTATTCATAGTGAAGCATGAACACACAACACGAAATATGCAGTGGTATTTTATGTATTCATTAGCAACCTCTTTCTTCTTGCAAGCAAAGCAATATGGTCTAAAAGTAACTTGTAATTTTTGTACACTATAGGCCAACACACACACACACACACACACACACACACACACACACACACACACCTGTTTCCATCGCTTTTCAAGGCCTATACCCTCACACACCACAATGAAAGTGCTCCAGTTTTTCATATTGTTTGCATGTAAATGCATGATTTGATTTGTGATCATTATATATTTATTTTTACTTTATTATTTTTATTTTTATTTAATAGTTGCTGGTGTTTTTGTGTGAGCCAAATCGCCATTGTGTCACTTTGTCACTGCCGGCTCCTCCTCATCATCATCTGACCGGACCCCCCCCCCCCCCCCACCCCCCCTTGACTTCAGCTCATGTTTGGCGTCCCGATGCTGCTGTGCATGATGATAAAGATGATGAAGATGATGATCGGCAAACCCGGACATTTGTGCGATTTATGGGAATGCTCACGCGACGGCGAGGAAGAAAAATGAATATTGCGGTGATTTTGAAAAGCTATAGGCTACTTTTTAGATTTATTGTTTGGATACAATAGATTTACAGTTATAAATATTTGTTATGTTTTGTACACCTGTAAGTGCCTTTCTAAAATCAGGACATCATTTGAAAAACCAATGCACAGACTGTAATGTATATAGGCTACTATGGGAATAAAATGGCTTTTCTGAATATATCTTTTATGTTGCAATTCTTGAATTAATATCAAGCTTTTTTATTATGAATATAATAGCTTTTTTTTCCTTTTTAGTGAGGACAAAACCAATCATTTTAGAAACACGCTCTCCTTGCCAGAAATGGGCGTGTTAGCCTATCAAAGCGGCCTGTTCAGAGTTATTATTCTGAACTATTTTGTCCCTTTGTGTCCTTTTCTACTAGGATGCTCTAAACATTTTGTGGCCCGGAATCTCACATCTCCTTTCACACCCTAAATGCGTATCGTGGCTTCTTGACCCTTAGACGTGTTTCTCCATTCGTGGCAAAAATTTATGTGAGAAACACAAATCTGGTGCCGGGGGGAAAAAAAGACGAGGATGCCACAAAAACACAAAGTTTTGGGCCAGTTTCTCTCGGGCCTTTTATAGACCTTTTTTGTTCTGCGGGACTGGGCCGTAATTTTGAGCGTAAAGCATGAAAAGTGGGGACAAATGAGCAGCGTTCCCTGGTGGGACGAGCCACAAAGGAGCAGGGCCGGTCCCCCGCAGGCAGCAATACTGAGACAAGTGTGTCCCACCGCACAAAAAGGACGCAAACGTTTGGAGGCCATATGGTTTTTGAAATTTCCTCACAAATTCAGACAATTTGATGGATTGAGTTAACCCTCCTTTTAAACAGTTTAACTGGGCGCGAACAAAGGCCATAATGCCTACATAGACTCTCCCTTCATGAGGGCATCTGCGGCTATTAATGTCTAGCCCTTTTCTTTGCCTGGCGTTTTGAACAAGTCAATGAATTACAATGAAACTGCCCCTTTTCTGTGAGCCGCTTGTCTCTCACCGCTTTTTAGCTCTGGAATAATATGTTTGACTTCTGTCCAAGAAACGTTTTCTAAACAAGAAATGGATTTTGTTGGAAGGGGTTTTAATGTTAAGTAGGCAGCCATAAAGAGTTGAGACTGTGACATTTATGCCAAAGTCTGGTTAGGGGACTCCTTTGTTTGTTTTCTTCTCATCTTTCTTTTTTTTCTTCTTTATTTCTTTTGTCTTTAAGGAGTTTAATGAAGCTGAAAACATGGTGATGTGAGAAAGAGTGGAGCTCAAAAGGCTTTTCTCTCCTTTAACTCTCTTTGTTCAAAGAAATGATAAGTAGGCCTGTCTTCTTGTGACTTGTTTATAGTGTTTGCTTTTTTTTAAACTTTAAATTCAGGACAACCTGAATACGTTTATAGACCTGTAAGTACTTGGAGCCTATCTAAAGGCAAATTAGTCCTACAGTAAAAAAAATCCCCCTATTTAGAATTTATAAGCCACATTTAATAAATGGTTTATAACATTATAATGAAGTTTTAGGCTGAAATTAGTTTTTTTAGGTAGTGTAATTAATGTATTTGTTAACAACCATACATCCACCCATAATGGAGGCTGCTGTTGAAAATAAAGGAAAAAACGTTTTAAAAAAAGGTTTAAATATAAATATTGTCATAAGAGAATTTATAATTATGAGTAAAAAACTGCCTTTGAATTTACACAGTAAATGATCCCTATGTCTTGATACTGCATCATGTTATAGCTTATATATTAAGTTTAATACTGCTCAGAAATGCTAAATAGGGGCGTGAAGTGTTTCCTTTAATTCATATTTATTATAATATTGTTTAGTTAATCGAAGTGACGCTTTTCCAAGGAAAAAAAATTAAATTAAATTATCTTGTAAATTGACTTGCAAATATGAACAAGTCGATTTAAAACTCATTCCTAAAAACTAATCCTTTCTGTATATCACAACACAGTGTGTGTGTGTGTGTGTGTGTGTGTGTGTGTGTGTGTGTGTGTGTGTGAGTGTGTGTGTGTGTGTGTGTGTGTGTATGTGTGTGTGTGTGTGTGTGTGCTGCAGCCTATTCTGAATCAAGCATATTTATGAAGGGAGAGAGTGTTAAGGCAGGCTAAGTTTATGGATTTCACTTGCTTATTTTATGAGGCCTTGTCAGGCGGTCCCGGCGATAAGTAATACTACAGTCTGTGGGACCACTTCGTGGTAATTAATCTGGAGGTCTTAAGTGTATTTCAGTATTTCACTCCAAGATGGAAAAAATCACTACTTCAATCGTCCGGAAAATTGAAGTTTGATGCATGAGTCCCTACTGAAACAATAGTACAGCCCTCTCTCTCTTCATCCCTTCCCCTCCCCTTTTCCACTCCCTCCCTCTCTATTCTTCTCTCTATATTTTATGATTATTTGCACCTTGTGGAAAAACAGTCTCAGGTGCAAAGTGTGAATGAATATTTCAAACACTGGTCGAGTGACATGCTTTCAAATCTCCAGTTTGTCTTCTGAAAAGAACAACAATCAGCATCCATCAACGTATATTTATTATTGTATTATCATAATTATTCTTATTGAATATGTATATAAAAAAAGGGAGGATCTGTAAATGACTTTATATTTGCCTGGATAGCCTGAATTGTAGAGTTTTAATCATAGCCTTCCTGTGGAGCCAGTTAATACTTCAAACTTCAATTTTACGGGCGATTGAACTAAGCATGTTCCTGACAGAATTGATGTATGTATTAATTTCCTTTAACTGTTGATTAATTAGGCTGCGCTGAAGGCTCAAATGGAACAGTTTGCTCGGAAATTTACATATTAATCAAATTCTAGTTGATCATTCAAATAATCCAGGCTATGTGAATTTAAGAGGATGTAGCTTGAAAACATATAGCAGAGGAAATCAGTAAATATATTTTCTGTCCTGCTGCTGCTGCACTGCACTGCACTGTATTAACACCAAGCAGTTAGAGAGTCAGCCTCACCATTTGGACCAAATTGTTTATCCAGTTTTGCTGCAACCAAGTTCAACAAGCAACAGCAAACCGTTGTGCTTGTTTGTCTTATATATTATGCACATGAGAGAGGAAGAGATGCAGATTTCTGTATTCTCATTTAGTTAAAAAAAAAAGGCAATTAAATTCACAGACTACAAACCACTTGATTTGGAAGTTCAGTTGCAATGTTATAGTCGTTGTGGCAGACAGCATATGACTTATCAATAAATACTACAGTTATACAAAAAAATCAATGGCCTTATAAATGTTAAAACTGTTTTTAATTAAACATTGTGAGACATTAAAGGTAAACAAAGTCTGCAGTTAGATATTCATTATTTATGACCACTGTGTCTAAAAAATATATTATTTAAGTGTTTCTAAAGGATTCTTGAAATATGTTTTTGCATTGTAAAAAAGGTAAAAACTGCACCAGCATTTTGAACTATGGGTTTAACTTAAAAATGTAAAACAAATTCATGGCAGCACATACAATATTTCAGATAAATATAACATGTACTTAAAATATAAAAAGAGAAGGTAAAACTGTTGTCATTATGATGGTAAAGTTTCAAAATATATGCTTAATTTCTTTGTGGCAAATAAAAATCAACAGTTGATTGAAAAATAAAAGTGAAATGCACCAATCCCTGATGGAAGTCATCTGAAAGCTCGCCCAATCCTGATGGTTTCATTATTTGAACCATGAGTGAGACCAAAATATACTCAAACTGTGGAATTACATTCTTAATAAAAAACTATAGTTTAAAAAGGATACAGAAAGGAAGTGGAAAACCAAAAAGGAACTGCAGATGTGAACAGGTTTAAACTCCAGTCAGCTGCTCGGCCACAGAGGAGAGAGAGGAGCAGAGACACCTGCTGGTGTTCACAGGGCAGTGAACGCACCACACTGAGCACTTAACCAGCCATGCTGTGTGTGTATTTTAAAAACATGAAGTATATTTCAATAGCATGTACATTTACATCACTGCAAACTAAGTTACACCGAGTTGTGGTCATGATATGTTTTAGTTTTCCTTTCTGTCTCTCTAAATCTGAAGGGCAGAAACAGATTAGAACCCTTTTTAATGCTAAATAGTTTCTTTTATTATCTTTATGTGTTTGACCTACTCTTACAACGTATTTTCTTAGATTGTTTATGTTTGCACAACCAGACACCAAAGCAAATTCCTTGTATGTGTTTACGTACTTGATTCTGATACAAAAATCATTGTCTCTCTGTGGATTGTTTGAAAAATAATCCGAAAACTATATGATACATGCTTTTTATATTCACATTTTCCTTTCTTTTGTTCACATGCATGTTATTTTATTGAGGTTTTTAGTATATGTTGATCTTAGACTTTGCCATTACTATTGAATCTAAGCTATTCTTTGTATATTGACTTCGTGTTTTCTATAAAATTGCCTCTTCCTGCACTGTCAAAATAGATCACGGGCCGCATTTGGCCCCCGGGCCGTAGTTTGGACATCCTTGTTGTATGGCGTCAGTTAACCCCAACAAAAGGAAGTGTAATGACACAGGGCCGGCCCTAGACTTTTGGGGGCCCTAAGCGAGCTTTGGCTTGGGGGCCCCCCTCACTCTAGCGCGTTCTCACTACACGGAACCAATTTTTGTCTTATGATGTTAGCATAAGCACACATATTGTATAAATAAGCATGTAAACACCGTGGACCTAACATCCTCTAGGGGAGTCCTCACCTCCTCTAGGGGGTCCGGGGCCATGCTCCCCCGGGAAGATTTTTTTTTAAATATTGAAGTTAAAAGCATCAATCTGGTGCACTTTGAGAACAAAATTAAGAGATCTATGGATACATCTCTCAACACCCATATGAAACAGAACTGTAAACAGATTTTCTTTTTCTTATATTTTACAAATCACTCCCCTTTTAAACTGTATTCTTGTTTTACTGTCATATAGTATTTCATAACTGTTTTTCATTTATTCTCTCTGGCTGTCCCTCTCATAATGTTCACATAGAAACTAGCTGTCAATAGGAATATCATTCAGAAGAATTATAATTTCATGCAAAAATCTGTCACAAAAAGAGGTTGCGCATTTAAATTCAGGTGTTGTTATGGCAACGTCAGTGGCCAAACAGCCACATTCACTGCTGCAAATACGTTCAAACATGCTGTCGACACGTAAAGCAGTGGCAACTATGCCACCATTTCAGCTGACTTTTTCTCAGAAATACTGTCACATAACATCCATATATTTCAGTGCTAGGTTGATGCTTAGCTAAGCTAACTATGAAACACTTTAACTGACAGGACTCAGAATCAACGGTGTACTGTAAGGTAGCCTCTAGCTTCATGTCGAACAGTAAGTCAACATTTTCCAGAGAGCTTTCTTTGAAATCACCAGGTAACGTTAAAAAGCATAACATTTAGATTGTATGACAAAGTGTTTATTTAATATATCTGGCTAGCTATAGCTACTTGCTAACAGTTTAGCTTACCCCCGCGATTCAAAGTAACGTCAACGTAGCTGTAATTTATGCTTTGCTTACATGTTCGCATAACTTGGAAGTTTACTGACATTTACATACCTTGTTTACCCGCAAGTGGTGGCTCTGGGGTTGTTGTGTGAGCCACCACTTGAGAATTGTCATCTTTTTTAAGAAAACATTTTCTGATGTCCATCTTCAAAAACTCTGAGTCCGACTGACAGTTTATTTTAAACATTGTCACAGCTCACAGGATAGGTACCTGTCAGCCAATAAGACAGATGTTTATTTCCATTCAACTCTCTGGTTGGTCTGGTGTCTTGCCTCTGTTGCATTCACTGAACACGGGAAATTACAATCCTGCCGTCCTCTCTAGTGTCATGTTATGATGAGGTTCAGGTAAAGCACGGTTAATGTATTATATGATGGACTCAATAATATGATACATGACTTTGAGAGTAGGCAATCTAGACATATTAACAACATTATTTAAAGGGGACCTATCATGCAAAATGCACTTTTGTACGTCTTTTATACATGAATATGTGTCCCCGGTGTTCCAGGGAACTCACCAAGTGTCAGAAAACACAACCTTCTCTCTTTTCCTCCATACCCAAATCTCTTAAAAACGGGGCTGCAACGGATCTGATACAGACTGATCCAGATTTGAACATTCCTCTGACGTCAGGACGGCGGAGTTGACCTATCAGGGGAATGAGAGGTTGCCGTGGCATGGTAACAGCATGGTAACACGACACTCGTAACTCGGCCCCCTCCTTTGCAGGGGGGCGTGGTCAGATGCAGCGCATGCAAAGACAGGGTGGAGGAAAGCAAAATAGAGCGAAATGAGGCATGGCTAAAATGCATGATCTGTTTGGTATTTTGAAAAATAAGACGTATAAATATTAGGGCTGTCAAGTTAACGCGTTAATAACGCATGTGTATTTTTTGTCCTCGGCCGCCCCGTAGTTTCAGAGCGCATCGAGTTTAAAATACCATCTACAAGCTGATGCTTACAGCCCCGCTCCTGCCGCCCGCTTGTGGCAGACCACACTTCCACGCTCACCGGCAGGCCCGGACTGGCCATCGGGAGGACCGGGAGGGTGTGTGTATGTGTGTATGTGTGTATGTGTGTATGTGTGTATGTGTGTATGTGTGTATGTGTGGCGCGACTCGCGCGAGCGAGGCACACCTTACGTGTTGTTGTTGTTAGCATCTGGTGCTAGCTAGCTGCTCTAACGGATATAAGGAGCTGTTTCAATGACATTTCGCCGACAACTGCGCCGAGCACTTGGCAGCTCTCCACATTCTCTCACACTCTCACACTCTCACACACACACACACACACACACACACACACACACACACACACACACACACACACACACACACACACACACACACACACACACACACACACACACACACACACACACACACACACACACACACACACACACACACACACACACACACACACACTTTGTATTGTATTAGTGTATGAGAGGTTCCAGGTTGAATTGAGGCGAATATTTGTAATGTTCAGAGGTTGTTGTGTTTAATATTCATGAGAATATTTGTCATTGTTCAAATGATAATAAACAAACATATAAAGCATATTTGTCCACTCATATGTTGATAAGAGTATTAAAAACTTGAAAAATATCCCTCTAAGGTACATTTAGAACAGATAAAAAATGTGCGATTAATTTGCGATTAATCGCGATTAACTATGGACAATCATGCGATTAATCGCGATTAAATATTTTAATCGACTGACAGCCCTAATAAATATACCTTATATAGGAAATGGCCATGACACCTCTCCTTTAATGGGCCGGGCTGGCTCTGTAATGACACCTCCTGCACCTGCAACCTACTGAACCCTTACATGCTTCCTGTAAAATCTACCAAATGACACAAGTTACGTGTAATAATTGGGAAATAAATGCATTTCAAAATAATGTACACACCTAGGCCTACATGTATTATTTAGCGGTGGTGGAAAAAGTACTGACTGAGTTTGAATCCCTTTGTTAGAAAAATTAGGCTATACCTCAAATTATTTAAAAGTAAAAGTCCCGCATTTCAAACCTTAAAAAGGAGGGGTGGTACACTAAAATGTAATTAAACAATACAAAAAGAGAATACAGACCCATTTCCCCCTTTCAGAATGTTTCAATTTTTTTTATTGAATTGCAGCATATTTACACTTTGGTCTTTTTTTGTAGTTAAATTCTTGAGATTTAAAGTAACTAGTGGCTGTTGCTGTCAAATAAAGGGAGTGGGGATCAATCCTACAGTCTGTTTAATAGATGCAGTTTGTTAAAAGGTGCTTTATCCCCCTCTGAAAAGCAGTAGTAGGCTAGCTGAAAGGGAACTTCTAGCTCCTATTTAAAATGCCATTGTTTCTGTTTCTCTTCAATCTTGCCTAATATTTTCTCTTTTATCAGATTGATCCCCAAAAGCAACCGTTTTCGACATACCCATCCATTTGTATCTTAAGAAAATTGCCAACAACTTGAAGTCAATGGAAATATATGGTAAAATATCAAAACACGCAAAACAATGTATACATCCTATCTCAGTCTGTGTATTTGTATGAGTCCTACCTTGATCTTCTTCTGTTTAACTGAAGTTTTTCTGGTTTAGTATTTCTCTTAATATTACATTGAAAAAACTGAACATGCGCAGCCCTGCGCAGCAGCAGCGCTCCTCAGCACTCTGTCGCAGGTATGACGTCATCAGCGTTGGCGGTAATTTGAAAAAGGAGCGTCTGTTGTTATTTTCCGTGATTTGGAGATACATCTCTGACATTTACAAATTATGGTGAGTCGACTCGTCCTTTGACTGATAATTGTAGTGCCAATATGTAAACAATAATGTAAAGGGCGAGGTTTTCACATCAACTATTAATAGAAAAGATCGGCCCTGCGAACTTAAACTAGCTAATGTCAACTTTCAACCTAGCCTACAGCTAACAACACATCAACCATGTACTGACTCTGACAGCATTTTCCGTGCTGTACTAAGTATTCATACTTAAAACAGCATACAAATCGATACATAGTGTCCTCTTTGTGTTCCCGTGTCCAGGCCGAGGTGGAGGCAGGTGTGGCGGCGAAAGAGGCTTTGTCAGAGGCCGCTTTCAGTGAGCTCATGGAGCAGTGTGAGGACCAGTTCACCCAGCTGGAGAAGGTAATGTCTCCCCGGGCTGTGCTTTATACTATGGGCCCGGAAGAGAAGAAGAGGTACAAACTGCAGTCTGTGTCTCTGTGTTGCAGCTTCAGAATGAGATCATACTGTCTGAACCAGATGCATGTGAGAATCCTCAAGACCAGGTGAGATGACTGTACATGCTTCACTTTATATACGTGAATCCCCATGTAACACAGAGGTGGAAGAAGTACTCAGATCTTGTACTTAAGTAAAAGTAAGTACCAGGAATACTCTGTTGCAAGTAAAAGTCCTGCATTCAAAAATGTTACTCAAGTAAAAGTACAAAAGTATTGGCATCAAAATATGTATACTAATAACTAAATTAAATGATGGTAGTGGAGTAAAGTTACTCTATTAACAAACTCCTAATTGTTGTGAGGTAGAAGTACAAAGTTCCAAAACATTGGATCACTCAAGTAAAGTCTTTCAAAATTGTTCTTAAGTACAGTGCTTGAGTAAATGTACTTAGTTACTTTACACCACTGGTAACACATGGAACACCTTGAAGTTGGTGTTCATTTAATTTTTCCGTTTACTTTTTGAAATATCATGGTTACATGAATTTATGACATTTAATTAAAAAGATGTATATAAATACCCTAGACAACACTTTTCACTTGCAAACTTGAAAATCCCTTACATAGACCTTTATTATAATCATAATGTATTTCAAAGGCCTAAACAGGCAATAAAGACTTCCTAACTGGTTGACAATTCACACATTATGAAATACAGGGAAAGGCAGAAGAACAACTTTGACAAATGTTCATCAAACGGTGCTTTTCTGCCACCAATATTCAACCTTTAACACATTCAGGGAAAATGTATAATGTAAACTAAAAGAATGACTTGAATTTAAGGAACTGCAGAGGCCTTTGGAAGAGCACAGTGACGGACACCTAAAAGATGAAATAATACATTTAAGTTATAATACTTTGTAGTACATAAATGTGAAAACAAGCTATACACATTATAGTGATTTTACAATGCTAATATTAGTTCAAAATAGCTGTAAAACTAATGATAAAAATAAGAATTATAACCTTGGTGTAACAAATGTAAAATGCAGACAATGAGAGAGTTTTGTCAAAGCGGCATCCCGTAATGGCTTCAGATGGCAACAACAAGCCATAAGTGTGTTTTTATAAATGTTGACAAACAACGTCAAATTTCAAGCTTGTTTTTTTTTGTACAAAACCAAATATCACTGTGACCTGTACCTCGTCTTCACTGGACAGTTAATCTTAACCAGTCACTCAACTTTTAAAACTAGACTCTAGATTATTCCTAACCTACAGATGTGCTACATTCAGGTTAAGATGTCCCCAAAGAGCAAAAAAGTATTTTTGTAATATTTAATAAAAAATGTCCTTTCACATATTACAAAATATGATCAGCTTATTTATTTTTTATTGAAATGTGTGACATTATTAAATGCAAATAACAACTTAATCCTGCTTAAAAAATGAGATTGATCATTTGTTTCTGTGCATTGCCAAATTTTCAACAGGCAGTAAATCGACTGATGGCAACGGAAGCTGAACTGAAGCAGTGGCTGACAGTGGAGCCTAAATGTAAGTACTCCATTCACACTGTGATAGAAGCTTGAACATATCATAATATATGAATTTACAAAATATCAATATCACAAATTAGTACCACGATTTTATGCCTCAGGTACAGTTTACTTTCATTCCACAACATTTGAAAGGAAATCGTTTAGTCTGCTGTGAAATTGGTGCGATACACATTCGTTTAATCAAGATTTAATATAAGACTTTACTTCATCAAATTGTGATTCCAGGCTTTCAAATCTAATTGAAATTGTTTACCTGCTGTTTCTAATGTGTTAAAATGCACTTCATTATTTTTCTACATCTAGTGCTGTCATCAAATTCAAAAGTTTTACTCAAAGCTGGAAAAGAAGAGGTATGTCTTGAAATGTTACAACATTAAAGAATACTGGAAATTCTGATTTAAATGCTCCAGTAATGCAACCAATGTTTCTTCTTTGTTTTCCACAGATACTCAAACTGTGCTCGGAACTTGAGATGGTTCTTTCTTGCCAGGAAGCAAAGAGAGACAAACTCAAAGAAACCAAAGAACTGTGCGTAAACCTTATGAGTGAAGTTCAGACTTTCTTTTCCTTCCTCAGGGAAAATACTGGAAATGCTTAAACATGGCCTTTCAGAAACGTTCCATTTGTTTAGCTCTGTGTATGAATAATGATAAAAGTCAATGTTTTTCAGTGAACAGAAGTGGTTGGAGGAGAAGCAACAAGTGCTGATAGCTGCCAAGAACCACGTTGAGCGAATACAAATGGAAAAGGGGAAAGCATCAGAGCACAGGTGAGTGTTGCGGAGAAAACACACTAAACAAGAAGGGTTCAAGTTTTGAGATGTGTTTCCACTGGAGGGCAGCCTACCCTGAGAATAGTAGCAGAAATATGAAAAGAGGGAACTAATTCTACCAAACATGTGTGTGTAAACATGCATTCCACAGTATATTACTGGACACCAAAGGAAAAATCCAGAAGTTGAATGTGTACCAGAAGAGGTTGATGGAGTGTCTGTCGGATGTTCTGGAGAAGCACGTCCCTCTGCCTCAGTACGAGCCCAGCACCAACAAGAAGAAGAAGGTGCAGTGTTCCTGTGGCTTTGATGCTCGTTGTGCTTTTGTGTTTACATAAAATACCGGTTCCATTTCTGCTCTACTGCAACTAACCGATTTCTTGTTTTCATTCTCAGAGCAATACCCAGGAGTTTGATAAAGACATGATTTCCCTCAATGAAATTCTCGAGGTGGGTATTGAATCATAACATTATAATAATAATCTTTATTTGTATAGCACCTTTCATACAATAAGTGCAGTTCAAAGTGCTTCACAGTAGACATCTCACAGAAAATTGATATCACATATAGCAGTTACCAGTAAAAGTCCTCAAAACAAACTGAAAATAGCATAGAGTAGACGTATGAAAATTACATTTATATTATAAGCCTTTATGTCCAATTCATTTGATGTACTCTTGCTTCAAGTGAAAGCAGACCATATGAAAAAGCATAACACAGAGTTACAAAGTGCTTCACAATAAATATAATACATTTGATAAGAAACAAAACTTGTATAAGATATAGAACAAGGTAGATATAGAGAATAGCATACAAATAAACGATCAAATAATTGTCAGATTAATAGCAACTAAGCTAGTTCATGGTGAACAGCAGTCCATTCTGCAAACTATCACTACTTTACATGTAGTAAAGTGAAATAGTTTTTTAAAAGGTTTTCTGGTGGCCATGGCATATACCATGCACAAAACATCCTGTATTTAAGAAGAAGAATTGGAGGGATGAAACCCTTCTTTAATGGTCACACATGCAGAGCACACAGCACACACAGTGAAATGTGTTCTCTGCATGTAACCCATCCTAGTACCAGGATTCTAGGATTAGGAGCAGTGGGCAGCTATTGTACAGCGCCCAGGGAGCAATGGGAGTGAGGGGTGTCCGGTGCCTTGCTCAAGGGCACCACGGCAGGGCCCAGGAGGTGAACTGGGACCTCTCCAAGTAGCAGTCCACACTCCATATTTAGCTCTGGTCGGGGACTTGAACCGGCAACCCTACAGCTCACAGTCCAAGCCCCTACTGACTGAGACATCACTTTGTCCCACTTAAAGGTAGGGTAGGTAAGAATGGAGAAACCAGCTCGAGTGCGCTAGAATTTGAAAGTACACAACCGAAAAAAATCTCCCCTTCCTTCAGACTTCCTTACAGAGCCCCTCCTCTAACACACACGAACGCGCACATGACCAATGAGGGCACGAGATAAGTTTGTGCATGAGATGGAAGGCTGACAGGCAGGTAGGCCATCCAATTATCTGCCACGGTCCGAGGTTTTTACAGCACCACGGCTTCCACAGATGAAATATTTGTATATATTTATTGTCAAAGCATTTCATTTATTCATTGCTATCGGGACGTTAAGAGCATTCCATGGAATATAACAAAAATGTTTCTGAAGTGAATTACCTACCCTACCTTTAAATATATATATATATATAAATTCAACCTATATCAATTGAACTGTCTGTGTAAATGCCTGCAAACTTTATAAATTGATTCACATGGCCCCATTACTTAACCCTATTCTCCCTCTGTCTTCTGTAACCCCACAGCTGCTCATGAACAAGACTCTGAACACACCACACGACCCCTATATTACCATAGACAACACATTCTGGCCCCCGTACATAGAGCTGCTGCTCCGCTATGGCATCGCAGTGAGGCACCAAGAGAGTAACTTCAAGATCCGCCTGGAAACATTTCTTTGAGGCAGTGGTGCACGAGGCTTCTCAAGCACCACTCATCTGCCAGTGTTTGAAAGCTTGAGGCTGCTTGCACAGTTCAAAGTGTACACTCATTATGTATGTGTGTGTGTGTGTGTGTGTGTGTGTGTGTGTGTGTGTGCAAGCTGATATGAAGAATAACTGCTAGGATAGCTATGAGGCTAGGAATTCAATGTAGTGTGTCACACCTAATATTTTTATATTAGGTAACTATTTAAATGCATTTGACAAAACACTCTCAATTTCATGTTAACTTACTCAATAGTGTTAAAGATATTTTCTTAACTACATATTTCCTTCAATCCTATTTTTGAGTTGATATTGATGATTAAACATTGCCATTGCTAAGTAATGAATGTTTGTAGTCATGTCTTTAAATTCAGTTTCATTCAAAGTTTTGCAAATGTACTGTGACACTGAAGCCTTAAAATGCCTAAATGGTGTATTGCATGTGTATACAGATTTGATATATGTTATTGTTCAATACAATTTGTAACTGCAGTTGTGTGTGGTGAATTCAAAGATTATTTTAAAACTTTTGTTTTAGGCAGCCAGTAGGTGGCTTGCCAGTCAAAATGTTGGGATAAAGTTTGATTCTATATAATAATTATTTTATGAATATGTAAAACTTCATAAGAAGCTCAGTGCGTCAGAGCGTCTATGGTCAGAGCACGTCAGAGCTGTTGTCCAATCAGGTGCATCCGCCGCGTCAGCTTTAGGATTCCTGTGGGCGGAGAGGGGATTCCGGTTCCGGGTGTTTTCATATCCCACTCGGAGGCGTTCATCTCTCTGATTATGGTATGTTATCATAAACGTATTTCTATAGAAGACGGATTAAAGTAAAGTTATTTTGATTAAGGAGGTCCAACAGTTGTCGTGAACATGGCGACCCGCTCGGAGAGAGAAAAGTCCCTAAAACTCAACGAGCAGCACCAGGCCATCCTGTCCAAAATGCTGAGAGAGGAAGACAACAAGTACTGCGCTGACTGCGAGGCGAAAGGTGCGACTTACACATTATCGACATTTTTTCCACGACACTAGACAAAGTTAACATTTCCACTCAGAAAAAGCCGCTAACGCTGTATAACAATGTAGCATCTTCGCTAGTTAGCTTGGCTAAGCTAACCCGCTACTGTGTAACCGGCTAAGGCTAGTCAGCTGACATCTCTTCCCTTTAGCAAAACTAAGTAGCTAACTAGCAAGCTAACTTCTCTAAATCTACTCAAGCTCATCGGCCACAGTGCCTCTCCCTCACCGCCGCCTGCAGCTCCTCGCTCTGGGGTTTTACGAGCGTTTTGCGAACTGTGTCAGATCCACATCAGGAGCCTGACTCTTTCTCTTGTTATGTCATTGTTAAAGAATGCAGAGCCTGCTTTTGGCTCTTGAAGTCTCTGCAAGATCGTGCATGCTTAAGGTTTCTTCAGGTTTCTGTCTATCTATGGTTTCTGCAGACATCTATCCATATTTAATTCACAATCTTTCTTTTATCAGGTCCAAGATGGGCATCCTGGAATCTGGGAGTATTTATGTGCATCCGGTGTGCTGGCATCCACAGGAATCTGGGAGTACACATATCCAGAGTCAAATCAGTCAACCTGGACCAATGGACCTCAGAACAAATGCAGGTACTGTTTTGATCCTGTGTGTACTTATGTTTGATTACAGAAGAGGTGGCCTTTTATTATATGAATAACTAATCACTCACGCAAAGTCTCCAAGTAAGACATTATTGCAACATCTTTGTTGTATAGGAAGTAAGGAGGGATTTCAGTAACGCTTTATCTTGGCACATCTGTTCTCTATTGACAGCCAGACTTTCCATTTCAGTGCCTCAGATCTGTTACAATACTGTGCATTTCCATTATTACGAGGCTCTCTGAATAATTATCCCAAAAATGTTGATGACTTGCGAGACACAGATTATAAAAAGAATAGTCAATGTGTGAGAGATCTTAGTCTCTAGCATCTAGATTCAAATGTACTGGATCATAGACTTCCCATAATGAACATTGAAAGAAATTGTCATTAAGCCTTATTCATGTAATTTGCAAGTTACCATAATTACCAGTTCTGACTTGAAAATGACTGCTTACATGAGCATCCAAGTCCTTATTAAAGCTAAAAATCCAATTTATGCCACTTCTCATTACAACATTTAGTTAACTGTTTTAACTAATTACAGAAATCTCACATGCACTGTTTTCCAAGGAAATTAAATCCAGATTTGAGACTCTTTCCACCTGTACCCCAGTCTTCCTCTCAGCCTGCTTAGTGTATGTCCACCTGTCTTACTCATGGATGTACAAAGAGAACTGGATACAGCACTGGAAACCTGTTCAGTGGTGCATGAAGCCAAAATGGCTCCACTTACCAATATAAAATTACCCAGGTCTTCCGCATTCGTAGGGCCCTTAGAGCAAGCAAGTGCACTAGAGTCAAAGCCTGATGCGCCTCATTGTGGCTTTTTCCAACTCCACAGCCCAAGTTTAAAGGTCACCTGTTATGCAAAATCCACTTTTTCATGTATTTTATACATAAACATGTGTCCCCTCTGCGTTGAGAGATCCTGAACGTTTCAGGAAAAAATATTTGCTCTCTTTTTGTCCCGCCCACTTTATCACCTGAATCTCCTCCTTGAGCACCATTGTGTTCTTTTATACCAAATATCTCTCAGAGGGGCGTGGGGAGTGGCTCCTTATTTTCATCTAAAGTAACAGACCCAGAATCAGCACTTTTGAAACAGGGCTGAAACAGAGGGGTTTATGGGATGCTACAATGCACGATCTGTTTGGTATTTGGAGCCAAACACATCAGAGACATGTTTCGTATATATCTGAGAACTATAATATATTGATGAAAAACTGCTATCTATTAATAATTTTGAAGCAATTAAATCCAAGCCATGATAACCCTAGTGACATTATCAGGGTCTCTTATGTGAGAATTATGTTTTCACAGGCTGAATCGTACTCTCTGTGATGAGCAAACTAATCATCATGTGTAAAATCGATGTTGAAATATCCAGCATGCATATATGAACAGAATTTGCTTTCTATTTACCAATCTGTCATTCCTTTTTTCAGAGTATACAGGATATGGGTAACACCAATGGCAGGCGGCTTTATGAGGCCAACCTTCCAGAAAGCTTCAGAAGACCTCAAACAGACCAGTATCCTTCACTATGAGCAGACACCCTTAACTTAAACATGTCATACTGCTTATACCAAAGCTATTCATATTTGTCTTGCTTGTTGCCTATTTTTCTCTTAACTCTGACCTTAGAGCAGTGGAATTCTTCATCAGGGATAAATATGAGAAGAAGAAATACTACAGCAAGAATGTGACCAATGGAAGCAGTGTATGTATTATGGGTTACTTTTTCAGCTTTATACGCCTGCCTTTTAAAAAAATTGTGAAAACACTTTAACAGACTATTTGTAAAACTTTTTTTTTCTGTTGTTCATTTTGAGTTTATTTTGTTTTCCAGCCAAAAGATGCTAAGAAAGAGAAGGAGCCGGACCGAGGAAGCAAGGTGTCATCTTACACTAAGGTAAGTTTATCACACATTATTTTGTGAGTACATGTGTGGAAACACGATATTCAGCATTGTCCCAAATTGAGTTTGCCTTACATGTTACTACTCCATTCCTTCTAAAGAGTGAAGAGCCCAGGCCAGTCCCCAAAATCAGCCCCGCTAAGACTTCAGAACCACCTGTGAACCTACTAGGCCTTGGTGAGTATCTCACTTGTGTTACTGGAAAATAAAAAACGTCTGAAAGGTGCCAACCGAGTGAGATATTTATGGTGGAATAAGGCTAAACGGGGCTTCAGCTTGTAATTGTTTTCCTTTTATTGCCAGTTCGGCAGATCTAATAAATAAATGAATCACTGTAAACTCATTGAGCCTGGATTTAGATGTTATACAGGCTCAAGGTGCTGTGTAATTTAAGATGAAGGATATTTACTATGTACTTAATTTGACTGTATATATATATATATTGAGTTGCCTGTTTTTCTTGGTGTACCAGGCTGACGCTGCGGCAGGTTATTGCTGTGGACATGTAACTTTCCATTCCTCGCAGCAGGACATAATGGCACTCAACCAAGATATTGTGGTTGTTTAAGGCAGAGACCATGACTGTGTCTGTTGTCTCTGTAGGCTGGATGTGTAATAATAGAGAAAGCAGTTTGAGAGAAAATGTCACCGCTGCTCTTTCAGATTCAGATTTGAGCAGCTGTGTACTGTGACAGGCAGTAGACTAACCATCTCTGAGCTGCTCTGATCTCAGATTCAGAACTGTACTTATTTTTTAAAGTTGATTTTAATGCACTTCTCCTTTTGCTGTACATTAAAACTTTGCACCAGTGAAATACTGCAAGACTCTTTAGCGAGGAAGTGCTAAAACTGCTGACTCAGTCACAGACGACTGACTTCTTGTTTATCTACATCTAGTTTTGGAGCTTTTCACTTTTGAGGAACAAAGGAATAAATGGTTCATAACATTGGTTGCTTTGGTTTCCCCTTTCCTGTAGTGTGTGATATAGGTGTTGGTGCATAGAAGTGGTCTGCAAAGGCTAACTTGCTGACTTTTCAATGCTGTCAAATAGATTTCTTTTAGGAAAGGTGCCTTATTCCAGGGTGTTTTCCAGCAATTATTTAATAAATAGGTGTATTGTAGAGCAACCACAGTTTATCACATCATGGATTAACCGTAAACGATTGTGCTGCAAAGGGTAGATGAAGAGGAACAGTTTGACTCATCATGAAAGAGGCATAACCTGATCACAGCCGCTCACCGCAGATGTATGCTAAACATGCAAAATATTACTTTCAGTGTTCAAGTGGCAGTTATTAGGATATTCCAGAGTGTGTTGCTACTCATGGTGAAACAGTGGGTTGTTACTACAGGTTATTGTATGTGTGTTATGGTTGTGTACTTGTCTATTTATCCTTTCAATTAAATAACTCGGATATAAATGACTTTATCTTGATACTTCAGGGTATTGTGCATAATTACTTCAATATAGCAATTCCATTTATAGTTTTAAGTAGGATGAGGAATTAATGCTACTAATAGACTTTGAGGGTCATAGCATTATTTGGATGTTTACTGTTATTTTGGTTTTTTGGCCAATAAGCTGATTCATTTTATTGTACCAACCGTCATGCTTACTGTGCTCTGCAGCAGTGGGAGGGCGGTGCAGTTAAATACAAAACATAATCTCACCTTAGCAAACATAAGCTCTGTTTGTTTTACACACCTTCGTACAGCTATTACACAACAACAAATTATCTTTCATAAGTTCTCAGTGAATACAGGTAGAATATCATTGGGAGGTGAGTAACGCTGCGTTG